CAACGCCGCCGAGATCATCGGACGCATCAGGGACGATCTTGACGAGCTGAAGCACTTGCCCCCCGGCTGGCAGCCCGGCGTCACCGATTCCTTCATGGAGGCCTTCCAGAGCGTCTGGTACACGATGCTGGGCATGTCGCTTGTGGCTCTCGTCTGCATTTCGTTGATGCGGCAGTATGTTCTTCACGCAACCTTGGAAAGACGTTGAGAAGTCTTGTGAAATGTGCAATCACGGGGCCGACGACAGACTAAGCCCGATTTTGTGACATAAAATTGATACAGTCAAAATAGAGTTGGACAACGTAACGATATAGATACGGAAGGCTCATCGCCAGTTGGATCCATTAGCTTTGAATAATCAAAATATCTTTATCGGCGAGCCTGCACGTCTTGACTTTTGTTGATTATGTGATCTACAATTGTAGTTCAATTGGACGCATTAGTGTCGAGACGCATGTAAGTCTCGGGCGGCAGCCCGCTGGCGCGTCTAGCAGATTCGGAGGGTGCTACTGGAATGAGACACGCTTGATCTACACATGACACAGCACTATGACATACAAATTTGCAAAACTATATTCTAATGGAGCAGGTAATCCGAAACTACAGCTGAGAAAGGAGCCGGCCGTTGCCTCTATTCCATCCCTCATGATTCAGCCGAGTGACATGAGTACAAATCTCAGGCATACGCCAAGGTGTTGTCGTCCCGAATCTGGCCTGCAATCTTGATAGAAGCCTCATTGCCTGCAACACAAGGGCCTCTGACAATGATCTGTGACGATTGTTAGCGATGTCCAGCGGTATCACCAAAATGAGTCGCTCACCTCTCCCTTATAATCCGAGTCCGCATTCTTGTACTTCTCCGTGTCCCTCAACAGAATCTCCGTACTCGTGACAGGCGCACCGAAATGCGACCGCTCATCGTCATGAACTCTGTAGTCGTAGTAGCCAGTCTGCGCAACGGCGCCAGCAACCTTTGGGGCCGCAAGAGCGTAAATGATCCTGGCACCCAAGAACACGCGAAGGTCAGAGAGAATCCGAGAAGACAGAGGCAGAGAATCAGCGCCGGCTCTATCAGCAACGTAAACAAGACGCAACTTGCCCGGCGTTTTGCCAATTGCCGGCCGCGATGAGCTGTTGAATCGGGAGGCCGCAGAGGCAACGGGCATCACGCCGCTTTCTGTCAGAGAGCGGGATTGGGCCCAGTGAGCAACCTTGGCAATGGCAGATGTCAAGCGGTTAGTAGCCTCCTGGTGTGTCCTCAACAGAGTCTCTGGCGTGGCCACAAGCACGGTAGGGGCCACTCCTTGGGTGGCGAGAACCAAGTCAGGCGAACGTCCAGCAACCGAGTTGAAGGCAACCGAGGAGTTGCAGTACAAAGCCGCGAGCGTCAAGATGAGGGTGTGAGTGTTTGTCAAAGAGTCGGCCGCGAGGAACAGGTCAGAAGGGCTGAGGCGCTGGGTTGAAGGAACAGCAGCAAGCTGACCAGCAACTCCAGAGACCAAGTTGGCCTGAGTGAAACGAACCATCTCTTCCATGGTGCCGGGCTTCGTCTGCCAGAACGTAATGACCTCCCTGGGTTCATCCTCCTTGTTCGGAGCAGGCAACTCTCTTCCAGCTTCAGCAGGGGCGTCGCGAATGATGTCTTGCCAAGTCGCGACATTGACACTGCCGCCGGTACCCTCGGGCACCTCGTTCCAGTCCATGTGGCTGCTTCCCTCATCAACAACCCAGATCAGCTGGCGCAGGGAGGGATACGCCTTGACGACAGGTTCAAAAGGGAACGCGCCGGGAGCCGTGATAACAGTGTCTGCGGCAGATCGACGGAGCATCATGGTGAGCTCTTCCGTAGACACGTCGAACGGAATCAGAATGGCCGTGAGATTGGGGTAGAAGCTGCAGGCAAACAATGCAACCAGGATCTCAATAGAGTTTGGCAAGTAAATGGCAACGCGGATACCACCCTGCTCGTGGATATGCTGTCCGATGAGGTTGATCTGTCGAGTGATGTCCTCTGCCTATTGTCAGAATCAACAGCGGGCATGAACTCCATTCAAACTCACCCAACTTGTGCTCAATAACGTTCTCGGAGCCCAAGACTGTCAGCAGTCTGCCCTTTCCCATGACACCTTTGCCATCATCGCCAGTTGCGCCAGCCACAACCTTTCTCCATATATCTCTGAGATCTCCGTCGCGTCCTCTCGACCATTTCGAAGCACCGGGGTCCTTGACGTTGAGTCCGCTGTTCAGGGGCATGCCATGAGGGGAAGAGTGGGATCGATAGACGGGCGATTCTCCTTTTTGTCGAACTGGCGAGCCTTGGGCCTGACGGGCAAGGAGCATAGGATGGGTATCGGGGTCTTGGCTGGATGCAATTCGATAGGAAACGATGACAACGAGCAGGGTGACAATGGCGGTGGTGTAGTTGTTCCATTGTCCGAAGAAACCGGAAACGCCCTCGTCCATCTGGAGCATGACGTTGTCAAAGAACCCCATGGTGGGCGGCGGGATCGTGAAGTCAGACTCGAGTCGCCGGTGTCGGTAGTGCGGAATGGATGGGTTCGGAAAAGGGAGCAAGTTGACCGATTGCTTTACGTGGCCGGCATGGAAAGCTCGGAGGGTTTAACAAGAGGAAAAAGCATGAGGCAGTGCCGGAGCTCGAGCTCGGAGGTTTCGTCGTGTGAGGTGGGCTGCGCTGGCAGTTCTCGGCGGGGATCCTGACATACCCCCCCGGCTGTGCTGGGCTGACTTTCCACAGAGGTTCCTGGGTGAGCTGCACGGGAAGGACCCTCAGGGCCCCAAGGTATGGAAGGTCGGGTAGGTACTTCAGGGACCGTGAGGCGCTCTGCTTGCCTGTGGTGTTGCTACCTACGCAATCCGCGGCCTGCAAATTCCCGGGGTTTGGGGGAACTTCCACACCTTTCCGCAGCTAAAACAGGTACGTACCTGGTCTAAAGTGCCTGCGGGTTCCTTCAACAGCTCCGTGCCGGCACCTGTGGAATCTGAGCGCCACCCGCCCCACGTCGGGAAGCTCGCAGCTGAAGGCAGGTACCCACTTTACCTAGCCAGAGTGCGACTGACCGCTTTCTGCCGGTTGCTGTGGCCCGTGTGGCTGGTGCATTGTTTTTCTGCCAGCCATTTCTGGCGAGACACACTGCGACCTGCATCTGCCAATTCCATCAACATCGTCAACTCGACCACAGAAGCGGCGCACTGAACCACGCTCGCGCTTGGCGACAGCGCAGCGTCGGAAACGACAACTTACTAACACATCACAGGTTTTCAAAAGAAACGAATCGGTAAGCTGTCCCCACCCGGGCGGGTGCGCAAATCTCAAGCATGACTGACGTGGTTCAGAACAGGCCTTGACCCTGACGCCGTACATCGACCTCGACTTCGTGACTCCAACTTCGATACCCTCGATACCCAACACAGCACCCAAAATGTCCTCCTCAGTGAGCAGGGCCACCGTGACCACGCCCGTCAGGTCGACACCACAGAAGACCGCCGCTATTGTTGACAGCCCGGGTACCTGGAGACATCCTCGTCTGAACGAGATCACGAGACGACGCAATGCGACCACCTTCTCCGAGAAGAACGTGAGGAAGATCGCATACAACATTGCCTTTCTCCTCGGTCTGTGGCTTTCTCAGGTTGTCGCACGATCATATGTCCCTACTTCTTGGTATGTTTGACTTTACCCTGAATGTCTCGCCCACCTCTAACAGACAGCAGGATCAATCCTTCTCTGCGATCGTATCTCGGCTGGGCGTACTACGCGATCCAGCTCTTTCCTCTCGTAAACATCGGCATGGCTATGCTTCCGTTGTTCCGTCCTGCCGACGATCTTGCCGACATTCCCCTAACGCCTGCCCAGCGCAAGCTTCTTGGATTGCCGCCCAGCGCAACGGCAGCCACTCCTGATGCTGTCTATAGCACGCCGCCGAGATACTCACGCACGCCGTCCCTGGCTGGATCACCCGCGAGCAACAGAAGCTTCTCTGGCTCTCCACTGTCTGGACGGGGCAGCCCGGCGCTCGGGTCCTCGTTCAATGGACAATCATACTCGCCCTCTCCTCTGAACGGCAGCCCCTCTAAGTTCTCGGCTAGTCTGAACAGCAACCGGAGGTCATCTTTCAGTTCGTCCACCAACTTCGGTGCGAGCACCAACAGCAATCTGGGCGCCAGTACCGCCTCTTCTCTGTTTCCCGACCCCGGAACACCAAGCCCCTCGACGGGCAAGCGCACTAGTGTTGGCTTGAACAACAAGTGGCTTTATGAAAGGGGCAGGAGATCTTCGGGAGGCAGCTGGATGCACTAAGCATGATGACGGTTCTTCGCAAACGATGGAGTAATGCATTCGAAGTGTTTGGGGCTTTAGACTGTGGTTTCTCTGCCAGCTTGGAGAACGGCGTTACGGGACCGCTTGAAGGGTCTTTTCAGGAGATGCCTAGCTCTGTTAATGGGATTACTATACCACCAAGCGGATTCTCAAGATGACGCGCATGAGGAGCAAGGGTTGTACATAGACGTCAATCTACAGAACCTGCGGGTCATAAATGGGACTAGGACTTCGAGGATCACAGTCAAAACACACGTGCATAACTTGGGTCAAGCACTCCACAATCGATGTAAGAAGAGCATCAGTCCAAGGAGGCGGGGGTGAGAAGGACGACATGCTCTTGTCTGGTTTGCCCTTGCAGATTCTACTGTAGTTGAAGTTCGATAATGCTGCAAGAGATGGACTTTCATTCAAGCCTGGAATCTGGGCGTGTGTCAGTCGCGCAGGTACGTACCTCGGCATCAGGAAATGGAAGGATGCGACCAAGATACGGGAACACCTACCCCGCTTTCCAACGTCTATTGGCCGGATTGCAGCTGCGACCCGCCTTTTTGGCATTACGTAGCACCCGGGCGCCCTTTGGTCTGGAACCATTAACCGTCGCCTTCCCAAGCTTCTTCTGTCAGAAACGTTCTGATAGATATGAACGCTCTGTGACAACATGGGTGCCAGCGACTCGAAGCTCGTCTTCAAGAAGGGCATCTTCAGGCTGTCTGAGGAGCGTCACATCCCGGCTGATGACCCCTACTGGACTTCTGTAGGTACTCCTGCATCGTGTCTTCTTCCCAGGCAACGTCTACTGACCACATTTCGACAGTTTTGGGAGCTCCCCGAATCCTCAGAGGACATCTTCAGCCTCTTTGCCCCCGCCGACATTCGTCGCACCAGAGATAAAGCCCTCGAAAACCTAGAAACCTTGATACTTGCAATCACATCTCGACTGTTCATATTGCGCCATCATCCCTCGTTCCCCGACCCTGAGATCGCACCTGAACGAGACGCTCTGAACTGTATCCGAGTCCTGACGCGCATTCTACCCTTCATCTACGAGGCTGATAACCTTCAACAATGGGAAGAAACATTCTTCTGGGGGGCTAGGCGGAAGAGGACGAGGCAATCCGCCATTGCCAACGAAGTGTTGTTCGACGGAGCCCAGGATGGCCCGCGATCGCCGAAGCCGAGGAACGACCCTGAAGACTTCGAAGACGCCAAGCCTCTCGCCGAGGAGCTTATCGACACTCTCGTAGACTTGCTGTTCTTTTCCGATCTCACCTTACCCAAACAACCCAATGGACGCTCGAAAGTCACGTACGCCATCTGGCAGAGTGGCGTGGGCTGCAATACCGCAGTAACAACCACCAAGGAGTTCGAAAGCAACCGTAGCGAGATTCTCCGCCTGCTCATGACCATGACAAGTCAGAGCATGTATATGTCACCCAACGCTCTTCCACAAAAGGGTGTCCGGGCCTTGACCCACATTTGTACATGCCCCGACAAGCAGGTCGTGCTGTCGGTTCTCTGCTCGCTGCTGAATACTGTACGTGCATGCATATTGCGGCTCCAATAGACGGAACTATCGCTGACAGGAACAGACCCTAAAGTACAACCCAGCCACCTGGCGTGTTCCTTACAACACGCTCGTCTTCAAAGACGAGAAGCAGATTCTGGTGACTTACACACTACAACTGCTGCTGGTATTCTTGCTGTATCCAATACCCGAGCAGGATGGCACGACGCCCAAGAACTTTTATCGTCATTTCCTTGGCCGACTTCACCGCCCCCAGGACTTTCAATTCATCGTCGACGGTATGACTCGAATTCTTAACCAGCCGCTCCAGGAGAAGAGTTCGTATATTCCCAGCGGACAAACCGGGGCCAAGTTTGCTCCAGAAATCATCATGCTTTTCTGGGAAATTACGCAGTGTAACAAACGATTCCGTTCATTCATCATCGATACGGAGCGCCTGACGGATTTTCTCGTTCTGACACTTTTCTACGCTCTGGAGTACAAGAATGATCCGTCCAAGCAAGGGGTAGTGCGGATGTGTGCCTTCTTGCTCCAAACTTTGAGTGTGGAAAAGAACTTTGGCACCAATCTCAACCGCACTTTTGGGCGACAAGAAAGTCTGCCTTTGACCATCAGAATACCAGGATTCAGCGGAACATACGCCGACTTCTTGATCCACGTGAGCAATGCTGTTGCGCTTGAAATGAAGCTCTGCTAACTGTGGCTAGTCAATCTACAACCTCATCACCACGAGTCAAGGCAGACTGAATGCCATCTACCCGGCATTGTTGGCAGTGATCAACAATATCGCTCCTTACCTAGAAGGACTCAGTCCGGCATCTGCATCGAAGCTGATGCAGCTGTTCTCTTCGATGTCTTCCCCCTCGTTTCTTCTGGCAAATGATAGTAACCACGACCTTTTGAGGTCACTAATGGAGTCCATCAACTCAGTCGTCGAGCATCAGTACCAAAGTAAGTTTGCCGCCTTAGGGATGTAGGGTGCAGCTTTGCACCCGCATCGTCAAAACCACACTTATCTAACGACCGAACAGAGAATCCAGAGTTGATCTTCTCGATCTTGCGCAACAAGAAGCGCATTGAAGCACTGCGTACTTTCACGCTTGAGAGTGGTCAGGAGGAGATTGAGAGACGCAACCGTCGCCGCAAGGAGGCTGCGGCCAGCGGTGATGGATTGGAACCAAGTTCGGTCAGAAGCTCCGTTGAAAGCCTCCGCAGCCCGACGACTTCGCAAGCTCGGCAACCCACCCTCAGCGATGTGCCTGAAGAAGATGGAACTTTCGCGATCGGGGATGACGACGACGATAGCGATGACGATGATGACGATGACGAAGACGATCATCGCCCTACGCCAGCCCAGTCTACTACAAGCGAAAACCCGTCCGTCACATCGTCCCAAGCCGAATTTGCGGAGGATGCGGTTCCTACGCAACTCCGCGGAATGTCGGAGAAAGCCAGGGGAAAGATGCCCGCTGGCGTGCCCAATTTCTCCCGACAGAACAGCACCACAAGTCTCGGCGGCTACTCCACCAGTGGACAATCACAGACCGGCGTCTTTGAACCAAGTGCGCAGTGGATCGAGAGCTGGCTCCCAGAGCTTCCTCTCCATACCATGCTCACTGTGATTCAGCAAGTGTCAGCTTTGCTGCCCCGTCAAGCACTTGCTGGCGAATCCGCGAACCGAGAGACGCTGCAAAAGATACAGGAAATCAGGCTAGTAGGTGTAGATCCCACACCGCCTCGTGTCCATTCGTTCGAGTGGTCACAGTTGTCTTTGGGCTGGTACGAATCGCTCCTCTGGGGTTTTGTCTTCACCAGCGAGATCCAGGTATCCAAGGGTACAGTTGGAATCTGGAACGGGACAGCAATAAAACTATTCCGCGTCCAAGAGACAGCTCCACAAGGTCCCAGCTTGACCTCACCTAGAGGAGCAGTAGACGCCGTGGGAAGCAACATCGTGTCCCGTATCGGCGCCATGAACCTTCGCGGTGCTCCGGGAGCTGCTGCACCAGGTGCTCCGCAACGTCCTTTTTGAGGCCGGAATCTTCATTTTGAGGCAAGCTGTCTGCCGATTCGGACGGATCCAAACACGCAAGGCTCATGGTCGCGGCAAATGGAATAGAGGGCTTGTCACATCAAACGATTGGACTTGTGGAGGTAATGAAGAACAAGAGATACCTGAGAGGACGACAACCACCGGATATGCGGAGACTCGAACCCTTCGTCTTCGAGTCTTCGAGGGGAAGCGTGGTGCATGATTTGCAGCAAGACTACGCGACGAAAGAGGGGATTCTGCAGACGCCCGGAAGAGCGCCGGGGTGATACTGGACTTGTGATCAGGTTACAATTGGCGTTGGGAGGATCAGTTGTGGCAAAGGACGCGTGTTTGACTATCACACCTAGGCATGAGCAAGCTGCTGAGAAATGCATACACTGAACTGCCTTTATCACACACCTTCTCTACGGCTGCGACTGACAGACACCAGGCGCGACTCACTCAGATGGGAATCTGAAAATGATGGGAAACTCAAAGGGTGTGGCTGATGTGGCAAGTTTACCATCCCAACTGAGCAGGGGTTTGGATGAAGCATAGCCAATAGATGCACTAGCTCCAAAATTCCGTCCAAGATTTAGCTTGGTTGATGCAACTCTGTACCTGGCAAAGCCAGCAAAAAGCGGTGATCATTTCCGAATATTGACGGGGATTCGTGTGCACCGCCACATGTCTGTCGGTGTGCACCCGTTCTAGACTTACTATCCCACCTCTGCGACCACTCAGAGGCCTTCCAACACGTAGGGAGGAGTCCAGCCACAATGCCTTCACTCGACCAGGACGACGGCACAACGGACATTGAACATGGAAGCGCTCGCTTGGGATTGAGGAAGGTCCGGACCTTATTAAAGTCCCCGGCGATATCAATGAGACTTTGCAGGGCGTTGGTTCCCAGTTGGGTAACACTTATTGCTTTGGGTTGCTTACGTGGTTGATGCCCTTATTCAATACGCCCCGTCCTTGATTGTTTTCCACTGGCATTTCTTCGCTCTGCTCACCGTCTCTTTGGAGACTTTGTTTATTTTGTTTGCTTCTGGAAAACGGAAAGAAGGATTAGAGTTTGGTCTTCAAAGACTATGCCCACTCATCATGGTGACTCCTCTTGAGAACAGCGCCGTCTTGGCAGGTGATGAAATCAGGCCTTACCGCATTCATGTGAGAGATTCTAAGCAAGGTGAGGGGACTTGGTGACTGACTCGGTGTACCACAGGTTTCAAGCAAATACCTCGATCTCACGAAGCAAAAGCTGGAACTCACCAGGCTGCCTCATGAGACTTCAGAACCCAAGTCGCAAGACTGGTGGGAGCCGAAACCCCGGATCGAGCCGCTCGTTGACTACTGGTGAGTTACCTCTTCTCTTCTTGGAGCAGAAGAAGCGCGTTGTTAACAGTAGCACGCAAACAGGCTTGAAAAGTATGACTGGCGAGAACAAGAGAGGCTCTTCAACGCACAGCTCCCTCAATTCCGTACAGCAGTCCTGATTCCGGGCACCGAGTCTTCCGTGCGGTCTCACTTCATCCACGTCAGGTCGTCTCACAGCAATGCAGTCCCCCTGCTCTTGATTCCTCCTTTCCCCTTCACAAATCTCTGCCTCCAGCACCTTATTCAGCCTCTCGCGGAGCCGGAGGATCCGGAGAATAAGCAGCCTTTCCACGTGGTGATTCCCTCTTTGCCTGGTATCGGCTTCAGCGATGCGCTCCCAAGTAACACGTCCGTCATCTCGGCGACGGCTGAGGTCCTTAACACCGTTATGACAAGACTTTCGTACTCAACATACGTCGCGACAAACACAGCTTCGGCCACCTCAAGTCCTGCAGAAATCGACTGGAAAATCGCAAGCTACCTGACAGCGCACTACCCCAACAGCTGCGTAGGCGCCCACTTCATCAACCCGTCCATCAAGGCACCAACTGCACAGGCAGCGCCCCTGGAGTGGATGAAGTGGTCCATCGCAAAGTTCTTCCGCGCCCCAGTACTGGGATACCAGCGCGAGGACTTCGCTTCCTTGGACCGGGTCTCCAAATCGCCAGCGACCCCTCCGCCAGACATGCTGGAACCAAACACGCCATCCTTCGCCCTCTGCGACTCGCCGGTCGGGCTCCTCGCGCTCGTGCTCAAGGTCCTCCGCGTCTTAGGAGCGCATAAGCAGTTCTCACCAACAGAGATCGTCACTCTGACGCAGACGGCGTGGCTTCCCGGCCCCGAGGCCGCACTGCGCTTCTGGGCTCACTGTCTTGCCCACGAGGAGGAGGCGCCACCGAAGCCGGCTACAAAGCCTAAGATTGCAATGACGGTGTTTACTGGCGAAGCGGCCACTGGGCTGAGTGATGTCGAAGCGCAAATCGTCGCGCCCCGTCCGGCGTCAGTCTCATACGCGTGTCCGGCCTGGGCGAAGGTCTCGTACAATCTCCTCCACACGCGGCGGGCATCGGCAACGCCGGGCTTGGTCGCCTGGGACGCTCCAGAATACATCTTTGAAGGAGTCCGCGGCCTGACGAAAGAACTCATGGCCATCCCCAATACGCTGAAACGCTCCGACCAGACCACTGCGCCGCTGCAGGGCGTCAGTGTCCAGGGTGATGGCTCACAAGGAGCGCAACAGATGGCTAAGACTACTGGTAGCGATAACGTGCCATCGACGCCGCAGGCCGAGGCTTCGTGGCGCCTTGAGAGGATTCGCGAGGCTTCGGAGACACCCAACAAGTCGCAAAAGGACGGCGGAGGGGCGGAGGCCGACTTTGATCAGGCTAGTCCTGATACCATCGTGGTCACCCCTCCAGGGAACTGAAAGCTATTAAAAACTCGCGTTGGATCTTTGCTTTGTTTGATGATACCAGGATATACGCTTCGCGGTTATGAAGACGATGAACACGATAGAAGGAAGCGGTTGGATTTGCCTAGATGAAAGGTCGATTTCCTCACTTGCTACGGAGGTTTAATTATGATACATAATTTCTCACTTTGGTTTCGTCGACTCTACTTCCAAACTGTGATGCATAGAACAGCCTCGCTCTCTTGCAAATTCGCAGGGTTGAGATTGGTACTATTGATTGCCCTGAAGAAGCATTCACATCACATAGCATTGGGCCGGGTGAATCTTTTGCAGTTACTGCTTGTTGTTTTATGCGCAAGTTTAAGTACTAAAAACCGTTGAAGAACATAAGGTAACAAAAACATATCAAGACACAATCCAGCAGCTTTGTTTCTATCCTCAGTCAACAATATACGCGCGCATCAATCACACACACGACTCCTTGATCCGCTGTAGCCACCACATCTCGCTCTGGCACCTAGTTCGATCGACAGCCTCGTTCTGCCCACCCAGAACATCCACACGACTATAGTGCAGTATTATCGATATCCTCAGTTAAGGGATGCTTGCTTGAGGCCTCACCTTGATTCCGTATCAGGCTCGCCGTGGCTCACTCTTGAAGATTGGCCAGAAACGCGACGAGGACGGCAGCATAAGCTAAAGACCCCACGAGTACGACCAGCATGGTGGCCCCTTGGTGACTAAACATCATAGCCATGAACAGGAGGGTGAAGCTAGTCAGGAGACATACGGCGCCTGCTGTGCTGATGCCTGGGAAGATGTAGAGAATTATGACCGGCAACAACAGGACGACTGCGTAGACCAGTATGGCAAGTCCTTTGCAGAAAATCTCCATGAGTCCCGTCACTAGAGGAGCCGCAAACTTCTGCTCCTCCGTGCTATTGTCCTTGAAGAGTAACTGTGGAGACGGGAGAAGTTAGCCAGGTGGCCACCGATGCACTCTTCCGTTCTTGACAGCTTACCAACACAAGCCACTTCGGCAGCAAGTGCATCCATCCTGTGATCGTCCGCCATAGCGGATCCGTCGCCGTGCTGACGAAATCGTTCGGATGACTCAGATACTCCATTTCTTCCTCGTTCAGGTAACCGTCATCTTTAATCTTGTAACATCGGTTCCAGAACTCGGGCTCTCGTACTTCGTGGAGTGATCGTAGGGTCCTCTCGTTGAACATCATCTGGTCTGGTGTCATCAGTCAGAGTCGCCCTGTCAATTTTGCAGCTTCTGGAACACTTTACGGTGGTTGTTTAGGAGAGGCCATATCTCCTGCAGGAGTTGAGATATCTTCTGTGGGAGGCTGTAGTCCTGCTCCTTGCTGAGAAGTGAGGCTTGTTCCGCCAGGCCTTGCCCTTCAGCTAGACCGTCTTCTAGATCTTCTGCGGTCGGTATGTTCTCTGTGAGATCATCTGGCGCTCTGGTACGAGCCTTTTGATGGTCCAACTCGAACAGTCTCCTTGCCAAGACGGCAAGTCTGTAGTGGGAGTCTAGAAGACATCGTTGCAATAGATAGCCAAACTTTCGGTGGATCGCAGTGTTCTCGAATCCCTCTTGCTCGGCGGCTAGGCGTGACCAGCCTTCGGGGTACCGATTGACTTCCTGCATGTTAGACCTGTACGAGCCGAGGTTGTACTGTTACTTGTGCTCACTGTCGTAACTATAGACGTAGTCTGCGGATCGGACACTTGAAGGGTTTACCGGATCCGTCGCTTGCTGTGTCAGTCAGGTCAACCGGCGTCAGTAGTAGTGTGACACGCACGTTGCAAAGTAGCAGCGGCCTGTGGATACAAGCCCCATTTATGAAGGATGGACCTAATTTTTAGGTTCATGGGAGGAGTAGACGTCGTTTTGGGGATGCTGTTCTCGCCGTGGCCGGCTTCGATATCAGTAGAAAGCGTAGTTGTCATGATAAGAAAAGGATTGTATTCGCCTGATTTCCTTTCAAAACCTCGCAAAAGGTAGATGACTGAGGACTCCATTTTATAGACGAAGACCAGAAGTGGAAACGCCCAGATCGTCATGTCGGCGTGGAACGAGACGGGTGCTCCAGCCTTGCCAACATTGCCAACAAAATGGCGATGTTGGTCGGCGGTCCCTCTATTTGGACCCCACGTTATGAGGTGGTGTAGGGAGACAGAATATTATGGGTAAAGGCAGATCTTAGGCGCCCTGATATGATGAGTTGTCTGCCTGCTCTTGGAATACTTGGTTGAAGATGTTCTGTTGCGGTGAGCGATGGTGTGCTGATCTGCTGACCGATTCGTCGCCTTCGTGATGGTTTCGGGCGTAAAGAAGATGCAAGAGAAGCAGACCGGGTTCACATGATGTTGAAGAAGGTTTGAATCTGCTGCTTGAGAGAAGAGTTCCAACACTGGAGAAGTACGCTCACAGGTCGAGTAGGTCGAGACAGCCAGCGGGTGTGCACAAATTAGTACCGAGATGTACCCGCCAGCGACGATGACGAATATAGATCTTCACTCAGAGACATTTAGGGAATTTCAGACTCTCACCGCTCTCTTCGTGGTGCAGTTGCCAATCCTCTCAGCCTCTATCGGGCCGCAAGAAAGTGGGATAGCGCCCTATCAGCTCGGGTCGCAAGGAGTCGGCAATCCAAGAAGGATCGGTCCGGTATCCTGTGGAAGAAGTGAAGAAAACCAGGCTGAGGAAGACTGAGTCCACACATCATCATTGGTTTGATCGGTCCGGTCGATATGACCTGAAGTACGGGGAGGCATTGGAGGTACTGCCAGTCTGGATCTCTGCCAGTACTGCGGGGGTAACGCCACACTTCTCTTCGCGACAGCAGAGCAGCGACCAGCGGCACCCCAAGATCTGTCACGAGCTATTTCGAATGCATTTGAGATTGAGAGTCCACGATTTTGAAAAGAAATGGGAATGAAAAGGGGATCTGGGAGGGTCATATTGTTGGACGAGCGAGTCCGGACCGGTTCACCGAGCCGGCCCCGCGATGGATCCCATCGTACATGTTCTGGATCTTCCCCAGATCATCATTGCCGCGCATTTGTTCATGAAAACAAAGGGGGGCTACTGTTTGACCATGCTGTGCAACCAACACTCGATTCAGGAGAAGTGCCGCAGAAGAACATGCTGTGATCTCGCAAAGAGAAGTTTACAAATACAAATGAATAACCTGAAAACCTTGAAAGATGCAGATGGCTTATGTATCGGACCAAAGGAGTGTGTTTGACTCGCCATATCAATTCAATTTGGCAAGTCTCCCCACGTCTTTCGCATGACGCGGCCATCTCGGACTGTGTCCCCTGAGGGAAAGGTGGGAACTGCGAGTGGTGTCAACCCATGCCACGCCAGACGCTTTCTAATACGCGCGGTTAATGCGCGAGCCAACAAAAGCCTCATCTCCAGATGAATAATGCAACCTTCACAGTGAAAACCTGGGACGCCCACCCGATACGAGCGAATATATGCATGCCTACGGCCGGGAAGCGCTGGCATTAGATAGAATTGTGCACCGGGGGAAGCCTGTGCAACGTTTGGCGTTCCTACACTCCGTTGCGTTGACAGCGTCCGCCCCCCCTTTTTGCCGAAATTACGCACGCATAATCCCTGTATATACATGAAAATTTGCCCAACGCCACGTAGATATTCGTAGTACGGCAATTGACCTATTCTGATGGCTTCAATTGATCTATTTCTATTGAATCTCATTATCTGAGGGCATCGTGATGCCTCCTAAACGCCGCCGCGCGGCTCGGCAGGCGGATGATGACCCTTCTGGGCATCGTCCGTCACCCATCGCCAACGGTACGCGGAAACAACGACGTATACAACAACTGGCACAGGACGCCGCCAGAGATCCTCCTCAACGCTCTGCCTCGCCGTCGATCAGGATCGTTACGCCCGCCGAGAGGGCTCGCCGGGCTGCCGCCGCCGAAGAGGCCGCCGAGGAGGCCGCCGAGGAGGTTATCGTCGCCGAGGCTGGACCCGAGACTAATGATTTGGTGGCGGCTGAGTCTACATCGCGAAGAAAGCGTGTACTTATAGCCCCTCCGTCATCACGAAGAGCTCCAAAAGCGTCCTCTCGCCAAAAAGCAACGACAACGCAGAGGAAGCGAAAGAAGGATCCGCCGCATACGATCCGGCTCCGAAGTACTCTGCCTTCGTCGATGCCACCGTTTCGACCAGACTCGACCCCAGTTAACCCAACCCCTCGTCAAACCACTCGATTTGCGGACGATACGCCTACGGCCCCTCGCCATAGCGCTGATGATACGTTTATGTCGTTCCACGATGTATTTGAAGAGGAGGACGATATGGGTAACGAGGAACCAACTCTGCTACAAATCCAGGTTACCCGTGGCCCAGCGCTCAAGGGTAACGGTTTACCTGTTCTCGATCTAACCATCGAGAGCATCGCGTATAACAGATTCAGTATTGCTCCTGTATTAGATGCGAATAGTAGAGACTGGGAGGCAGACAGCGGCGCCCAACTTGAGGCAGAAGTGGCTCACTCGTATATTGTGAAGAAGGCCAATATCGCTGTTGTCGTTGCTTGGAGGAAGCCCACCAACGCATCTAAACCAACACCAATCTTCACTCGGGTCTATCCGTCTACTGGAGGGGTCACTTGGCCAAGTATTCCATGGGTTGATATTGTCCCCTCTCTTGAACAAGCTGAAGAGAGGGGTGAAGTCCACCTCACCGTCAAGTGGCAATACAGCGCCGTACCAATCTCTGGTGGTATAGTGACTGGCGTACGAACGCCTCGAAAAGGTGGCCGAGCAGGCGTTTCAGCCGGCATGCAAGAGGCGATCGATCGTGAGGCTAACGATCCTGCAAACGTCGAGCGTCGGAAGGAGGGTATGCACAGACAACTTCTCCGTACGCACATCTGCCCAGAGTACCAGAGATGTAAGAATAGTTCGGGCGACGAGAAGTTCAACTGGTGCTATATACTAGGCCAGAAGCACTACAAGATCAAATCTCACCATATAGAGAAGTGGGCGAAGGCTATTATGACTGGACAGGCTGGCGTTGACAATATGGAACCACCTAAAGAACTGCTTGGTGAGATTCTTCACGACCAGTTTATAGAGGATCAGAAACGCCAGGGCAAGAGAAGTAAGAATATCGTGGAGGTTGATGATAACCAGGAGACGACAGTGATGACGGAAGAGAAGGCTGAAAATGCCGCACTTCCATCATCAGGGTCAAGATCTGGCCTAACCAACGCCAACAGCAACGCCATCGTCAATATATACGGCAACGCGGGGGCGCCAGATCGTCATCTTCAATATCCTAACCCATACGTACAGCTGCCGCCGCCGGCGCCGCCGCCGCCGGCATATTGGCCATATGCGAACATCTCACAGTATTCGTTGCCAACTCTTCCGCCATTGAACCTTCCAAGCACTCGTCAACCAAGTATCGCACTCCCGATTCGTTCGTCCTCGCCAGTGGTACCGGATTCGCCTCGAAAAGCTCTAGATCAAGTGGCCAGCTTCATCAAGTGGTTTATATCCGTCCGCGGCAAGCGATATAACGTCGACGAAGGGTTCAGAAAGAAGCTACAGAAACTGCGATCAGTAGACAGTAGCTTGCGGGCAATTCGCAAGTTACCAGATATTTGGTTTACTGAACAGGGTTTTACTCAAGATCTTACCGAAGATGTCAGGAACTCGATCAAATCCTTCATAGACAACAGCGCCTACTACGGAGGGCAGTCTGACGCCCTCTCCGACGTGGTATCTCACTCTGAACTTCATTCAAACCATCGAGAGTCAGAAGGAGATGTTTATACAAGAATATACGCTGGATTGCCAGGAGGGACGGCGGCGGCGCCAGTTGAAAACTCTGCGGCGCTAGTTTCAGGCGAGTTGGGGTCATCCCGACATATCGACGCCCTAGTGCCACGTCAATCCATCGAGCAAGAGATCCGTGGTACGCCAGTTGAAGTTGGTCGACGTGGTGAGTGTATATAGAGCTGTTTACTGTCGAATATGGCTAACTTTGTAGGCGTTTCGGAACTCTTTGGTTTCGTTTCGTCACCACTGCTGTCAGCGTCGCAGATGCTGCCCACGCAGTTACAGATCGAACAAGACGAAATCGAGCAAGGCGATGAGGACAATCAGATTGAAATCTCGAGTGATACGTCGTCAACAGAGACGTATTACTCGGAGGAGGATAACGAAGAAGAGTGATACAGCAAGAGTGGTGTGAAGTTTGACTGTATGCGCGATTTTTTTGCATGACGTGTTCAACCACGGAAAAGTCTACCCATAGCCGTAGATTCAACACTGCCGCTCTATACGTATAAAAGCAATAGAATTACTGTTATTTTGGATCTGCAAACAATACACTTCGGTCCATCCCGATACTGGTTAGGGGCAGTTGAAGTCTCTGACTATGGTTGAAGTCTCTGATCGTGATGACGTGTCATCATCACAAATCATCGTCACAAGCATCAACAACGCGTTTCAGCCGTTATACAGGCAAAATTGATATGTATACGTAGCTACCGACGAAAACAATGGACGACGGTATATTTTTTGTGTTCTGGTGCGCTTGTGGCTAACCTTTTGGCAATCTTGTTGGCTACAATCATGGATTTGATGATTGACCATCATATGACGACACGATTAAGATCTATTGCGCGCGAACGCACGATGAAAATTTGGATTGCTTGCTGATGTTCAATATTGGCAGCAAATCCTCCCTTTTATAGTTCGATATCGTCAAATATATGCTCTGTCCCATCAAAGTTGACGAACGAATGGCGGAAATGGCCCTCGATCTGGGGTAGACGATACCCAATCTCCATAGCGCAGTCACGTAGATATTCCATGAAATCCCGAGTGTCATTCTCATCGTTGTTCCACTTCGAATACGTCTTCCTGATGTATCGCTTTAGATCGCCGAAGTACTCTTC